TCTCTCTCTCTCTCTCTCTCTCTCTCTCTCTCTCTCTCTCTCTCTCTCTCTCTCTCTCTGACACTAATAGTTTATCCTTCCATTTGTTTTCTCTGATTGTTTCCTTTCAAAACTCTGATTTTTAACATATCTTATATCTCAATGCTCATCTTCTGGACAGTCTATTGTGTGACAGATTGGTTACTGGGAAGAAGAACATGTTCAATTCCCAGAGTTAATACAATAAAGCATAAATAAAACACTAATGAAGTTGCCACTACATAAAGGCTAAATGTCCTTAACAAAATATCACAATGTCTCTTGCTGAATGCATACTATCTTACCAGTGAATGCATTCAAGTGTTTACTGAATTTACTACGGAAAGAGTACTCAGCATGAAAATTGTTTCATGCTTTTAGGTAGACAAATGCAAGAATAATCAGTGCATTTATCAAAATCATAGAAAAGATGAGAATATGACAAAGGTGATCATCAGGCTGAGTCCCACAAAGTGCTTAGAATAGATATAACTGAGGTCAGGAGAAAGGGTAAAGCAGGAAAGAGATCAAGGTTTCCATATCATGAAACCAAGTTATGAAGGAAAGCCTCATTGTTAACCAGTTACCTCCACAGCATTCTTCTTTCATGGTTCATATAGCAATTGTGAGTTTTCTCCACAGCTAAATAAGGAGGGCAGCTTTGGAGGTAAAGTGGGACCACAGTGCATAGCACACTTGCCACAAACACAGGAAGTCTTGACATTGAATCCCAAGAAGTCATGTAAAGCTGTGTAGTCTTCCTACTGTGTGTTGATGAGTGATGATAGGACAATCCTAAGGGCTTGTGGGCTGGTAACTCAGGTGTACTTAGCAGTGAACAGGCGACATGCTGCTTCAAACAAGATAGAAGGTAAAAACCAATGAAAGACGTTGTTTTGTTGAGATACCAGGGTCCCCCTCTGTACACCTGGCTGTCCTACAACTCTCTATTTAGATCAGGTTTGCCCTGAACTCACAGAATATGTCTGCCTCTGCCTCCTAAGTGTTGATGCTGAGTGTTCTTTCTTTATGCATGCCAAGGCATTCAGGTGGGACCAAAGGGAAGTAGCAACCCAAGGCTCCATGGCAATTCCGATTCTCATCACATGTATCTGTGCTCATTCAAAACTAACTTAATTTATTATAAAAGTTTAAGGAAATATTTTATGGATCTTAGCTGAAAAGCATTACTGAGGGCCATGGTATTTATTTATTTAATTGGAATCATGTGAAGCTAACTCCATGTGTGCTAGTATGGTAGTCTGTCAAGTTCTTTAGAGTAGGTGTTTTCAGGCTTGCCATCCAGACTGTCTTGGTTATACTCTATAGTTTTAGTCAAAGACTTCAATAATGCTCATAATTATTCTTCCTTTAATGGATTTATTAGCTATAAAATCACGGAGGGACTAGTCATGTAAAAAGACGATACATAGCTTGTCAAACCAAGTATTATATTGATAATCCTTAGGGAATGATGACCTAGAACACAGAGGATCTTAAAGAGCTCAAGTGGCCTCCCTTCAACATGGCAAGTGCTGTACTCTGAATGCTCTGCAGAGTTCACCAGTGGCCTGCACTGTGTCTCTCATCATTGGTGGAAAACCCCCATCTCCTTTCCAAATGAACTTTATGGGAGATCCTAGAGCACAAAAAGTTGAGTTCAAACCCATTTGCCCACAGTCCATGTGTTATTTAGAACACACGAGAGAACGGCTGTCCTTGGAGAAAGGTAATGTGGCTGGATTTTTCAAATTTAGCAGGAACAAATGTGCTTTTGTAGTACAAAAAAAAAATGCTTTGTTCCACGCTAGTCTGCAGTCTCTCTCTGGAAAATGTACAGGAGGGTACAATATGAGCTGACTGCAAGTGAAGATGCTATTTAGAGCCACACATAATGAAATAAACCCCTTAGTTATGAATCAGTTATTATATTTCACTGAACTCCAACTGTTTCCTTCTCACTGCTTAATTTCATTCTCACTTTTGTTATTATGCCCAAAGAAAACATTTTAACATTTTTTTGCATGCACTTTGAGAATCAAAAATTCCATCTACAAGTTTGCTGCTTTTTGAGTCTAATTTCTCCACAGGTTGCTCTGGCTGCTTTAATAAATAATACTGTCTGAATTCTTCTAGTCCCAGAGTTCTGTTTATTTATTATTCTCTAGGGGGAAAATGTCTCTTGTTGGGGGAGGAGCAGAGAAAAGAAAAAAAAAAACAAAGCAATAAACAGAGTCCACTTTCCAAGTTAGTGCAAGGGCCTCTAAAAGATGACATAGTTGCAGTTAACTTCATTAAACAGCTATAGTTGCTTCCACTCAGATTATATTCAGAATCTATTCTTTCCCCTTGACTTTAAAGCACTGACTTTATCATAGCAACATAGCTTAAATTAAAGGACAGCTAAGTTAAAAGCTAACTATGTATTGCTTGGTTTTCCTGTGGTTATTCAGTCAGATTTCTTACTATAGAACACAAATACCAAACCATGGGACGTATCTATTGGTTTGGTTGGTTTAGTTTGTTTTTGGAGGAGAGCTTATGTATTGAAATAGAGGGGGTAGATTATATAGCTGAAGTCATGGGCCACAGTAGGAGAAAGACATGGATGGAGGTGCTATAGAAGAGATAGGGGTCTTCCAAGGAATGGATCTATATAAGAAAACTTCCTTGAAAATGTAAGCTCAAGTTTTACAATAAGGAGGACAAACTTCAGTGTGAATGGGAGACTAAATATTGTTATAAGTGTAAATGAATGTGTGACTGGGCATAGATAACACCGTTTGAGGAATTGGTTCCAGCCAGTGTAAACAGGAATTGAGAGGCTTTGAAATGGTACTGAAAGAATTGGCGCTTTAACTGAGGAGACAATGAAACTTGTCTTTGGGAAGTGAATTTAGACATCAAATAAATCAAGTTTTAAATATTTCAAAAGATTAGATCCTTGGCCCCAGACCATGGTACATTTAAGAGAGGAATGAAAGATGGTGCAGCCTCTTGGAGAAAAATCATGGGATTCCCTCAAAACCTTAAAAAACAAACTACAATGCAATCTTGAGGTACCACTTCCTGTTATTTATCTGATAAAATTGAAGAAAGCATCTCAAAGACATATAACCAAATTCAGTGAGACATTATTCAGTTTTTAGGAGTGGAATCATGTATATTGATACTGGTGATGGATGAGTAAAGTACAATATATAATTATAATGGAATATTATTCATTCTGAAAAACAATGGACATGATAAATTATATAAAAAATGTAGGTAGCCCTCACAGACATTGCAATAAATGAGATAAGCCCATCACAAAAGGAAAAGACTGCATTGTTTGCTTATTTAAAGTATCTAAGATAATTAAACTACCCTAAAGAGATGATGATAGCCGTAGGAAATAGGAAACAAGGAACTGCTGATGAACAAGCAGGATTTCAGTTACATGTGGCTGTGTTCACAGGCTTCAGCACTGATCTGTGCTCTAGACAATACATGAGGGGTGTATTACACTAATCCAGGTACATGTACATGCAAACACACATACACACACACTGTGTGTCTTTTTTTGTGTCTGTCTCTGTCTCTCATATTATCCTCTGTCTCTGTGTGTGTCTGTCTGTCTGTCTATGTCTCTTTGTTCCCCGGATCTCTGATTCTGTGTCTCTGTCTCTGCCTCTGTCTCTTTCTGTCCCTGTCTCGGTCTATGTCTCTGTCTTTCTCTTTCACACACACACACACACACACACACACACACACACACACACACACACACGATGGGGTGTTATTGCAAGATTGACGAACAAATCAGCGACTGTAGACTATTATTTCAAATTAATGAGATGTTTTGTATTGTCAGAAATGCTTCCCTTTCAGTATCACTGGTAATGCGGAGAGTGAGAAGTGTTTTTATGGAAAGAGCTCATTAGCAGCCAGCCTGGTTACCAAAAGGAGGTCCAAGGATGCCATCACACCAGGAGCAAATAGCAGTGTGCTGATCTTGTGTTGAGTGGACACTTACGTTCAGGCTAGGAATCAGGACAACAAAATATGTGGTCACTGTGATCTGGAGTCAATCACGTATTCTCTTACTAAATGGTCACTGGTATGACTTTTATTTTAAACAGCTTGTGTAATTTTATTCAAGGTGAATATTCTGAAAGGAGCAGAAAGCTGCTACACAAAAAAGCAAAACAAACAAAAAACAGTCTCCTTTCTCTTCAAAACCGCTGTGACTCCCAATGTATATTTTAAATAAATTTATTATAGAAGAATGGGGAATAAATGAAAGCTTATACATAAGGTTTGTATAAAAATGTCCACTTATTTTTAAAACTCACTCTATGTTAGAAACCTTTTCATCTTAAATGTAATAATTCTTTACATTTTACATAGTTTTAGTGAGTTTGTCACTAAATATGGCATTAGCAAGCATCAGTTGTCATTGTTAAATTCTCATGCAAGTATCTGAGACTAAGCAGGCCACTCATGAACTTAGTGGTTAGTGATTGGAAACTCTGGTTTAGACCCTGCGCCATAATGATCTGACACAGTCTCACATCCTCACACCTTGAGTTTCAGCTTTCCTTCCTCAAAATTAAAGCCTTACCACTTCTCAGCACTTTGGAATAATGTTAGATTCATGAATAAGCCTCCCATATTCATCTTCCAGAACACACTGCAGCTCACAGCCAGTAGTAACATAGTATAGAAAGTAGCAAGGCAGATGCGTGGGGGCCGTCCCACACAGACTTGGCTGAACACCAGAGACGAGTTATTTTCTGCTTCCCTTGTAGACTCCTTGGATCTGGTGAGGCAACTTCGATAATGACGAATAAGTTAAAACTTACAGCTGCAGCGATCATAGATAAAGACAGGAACTACATCATATGGGGAGGGGGGAAGAGTATCGAAATAGCCAAGTGAGAGAACTCAGTCTAGAATGTCCCCAGTGGCTACTTCTCAGTTGAGGCAGGCACTACCAGGAGGCAGAAATGAAACTTTCACTATGCAAGGCCCTATCTAAGTTAATTTGCCTGTGACAAAGGAGTGAACAAGAGGGAGGGTTTCCCACCTCAGTTAATCCTTTCTGAAAAGCACCCCATAGACACCCAGAGAATTCTCATGGTGGTTCTAGTTATGAAGTTGACAATGAAGATCACACATCTGTTCACATGAAGCATGAATTTGTCCTCAGCACCTTCCTACATTAAATGAGGATGCTGATTAGACATATCCTCTCAGAAAAAAAAATGTTATCAGCGTAAACTAGCATATTGACACAGGCCTTAAGAAATTGATCACATTAGTGACAATGTATAAACCAGCAGCATGAGGAAATTAGAACGGATGACATTATTTGCATTATTCATACTCTTCAAAATATCACTTAACCAAGACAAACAACAAAATAAAATAAGCCAAAAACTATCATGTCATTCCACATAGATTTACACAACTTTACTAGAAATCTCTTCTCATGTACCAAATATTTAATTTCCATTGAATTTTTAAAATTGGTGTGGGGAGTCGAAGAGTTGGCCCAGTAGTATCGAGAACCTCTTATAGATTACTCTAATTTAATTCCTCATTCTCATATGGTTGCTCACAACCATCTGTAACTTTCAATCTAAGGAGTCCAATGTCCTCCTAGATTTCTGTGTGCACTAGTAACATACGTGGTGCACTAATATACATTCAGGCAAAACACACATACAGGTAATGTAAGTAAATCTCTAAAACATTAAAATGTGTTACGTCTTTCCCCTTATGAGCTAGTAATGCTAATATATATGTCATCTAAGAAAGGAACTTCATCTGCTCAATACCCTATGAGGAAAATCACATCTTATACAATGAGGAAAGAGAGAGAACTCTAATGTAGACAGCTATGCTGACAAAATAAACAGTAATATGATTTTTTTTGCATAGGCTGGCTATGTTGAGAAACATAATCTTTAAATGCATTGTCAGAAATAACTCGATATTACTGCCCAACATGTAATAGAGAAGAAAGAAGCAACTCTTTAATTAATGTTCCCAGGAAGAAGACATCGTGATCACAGATTTTAAATGTCTTTTTTGTGTTCATTTTCCCCAGACTGGAATATGGAGACATACAGATGTGAATATAGATCTAAATCTAGGTATAAGTATTTCAAAATGCAGGGTATTTCTGAGTAGGAGCAGCATTCAAAAATGAAATCTAACAGAAAGTCAATGAGCCAGCAAATGACTGCATGCTTTAACATGGCAGATGCCACAATAGCTGACTATTTTTTTTTTTTTTGCTGGATGGCAAAGCAAATATTATCCTGCAAGATGGATACATTCTTGTCAGCATATGAAATACAATAGCTCTAAAGAGAAAATAATGCACAGCTATTGGTTGCCCAGAGATTCCCTGTAGTTTCACGTCCGCTAGATCTATTTTGAAAGAAAAAGTTGTGCTAAACCCATCTGGTAGACTTATAATACCTATCCACTGACCTGGTTGGTCAGAGAATTTAATTTTTACATCAAATTAACCATTTGTGTACAGACATGGGGAAGCTACTCTGTGAGCCATCTGGCATAGGAGGGCTGCAGAAATGCAGAGATGATATTGAAAGGGTGGGTAAAAGCACTGGTTCACTGTAGTGTCACCTCCATAGGCCAATCTACCTGCCAGCCAGGACTGTGTGGGGCCCACATTATCTCTGACATATCAAAGTCTACCATACATGCTTTCAAACAGTATCTTTTTCTTCTTTGTAAGAGACTAGAGATGCTGAAGAACTCACACTTGCCTGGCATATATTAGAAGCAATGATATGTCTGTCACCAAATCACACTTGATCTGTCCATCTTTTCCCAGTCCCTCCCTATAGCTGGACTGAAAAATGGCACAGTTTAAAGCTGGAGAGTTGCTACCCTAGAGTCCCCAGCTTCTTTTGAACAGTCATTAATGTCACTTTCCAGTGGTAATAATAGATATGGCTATAATAAGTTACAGTGAGACTCACAGACTGACTACTTAGGGGCTGCAGTTACTTCAATAAAACTGGTTTCCCACCAGTACAATGGAGAGATTTTAAAATCCGTACAATGAGAGAGGTAGTGAGCTTGGTTTATCCCGAGTTCTGCAATTCAGCTGTTAATTTCATTTTGAGTCACTAAGTTCCTCAAACCTAATCTTGATTAAGAACATGCCATTCCATAGTGATACCATTGCCATTGGTGTGATGGCCACTATATTTGGAATACATATATGGACAATGAGAAACATAGATATGCGTGTGTTTTAATGTATATTTTTCTATGTCTATGTGTGTTTGTGTCTGTGTGTCTGTCTGTGTGTGATCATATGCATATCCTTTATTCCTTAGGGATCATAGTTTATTATAGTTGCGAGCATTTATTTGTTGTTGCTTGTAATAATTGAAATGCCATCACATCACGGTATAAAATTATTGTCATAATGAGGCTTCAGCTGCAGCCATTTCACTCACCCCCTTCATTTTATAACTCATGCATGGGCTTATGAGTAAAGTAAAAATATTTCCTAACAGAGAACGTGGGAGAAACATGAAAACAAGGTCACATATTCTTGCAATAAATACAACTGTGCTCATGCCTGTTTGATCCCACCATAGACACTGTACAACTTCACAGTGTAGCCAGGAAATGGATGCCAGTGAAAGTGTCTTATTTTGGATTCTTCTAATTTTTACATTTCACATTTGACTTTCTCACAGATAAAATTCTCTCAACCTGATGAAGAACATCCTGCATGTCTTGGCTTCTAGGCCATCAGGTCATTAGTCAAATCTTCACCCAGAATGTTAACTTCTTAGTTGTTATCTCTAGAAACTTTTCTGTTTTATCCTCAAGGGGTGATTTTGGTCCAACATTCTGTCATTTGCAGAAATGATTGTTCTGAAAAGTTTCACCTCAATTTCATAGCTTTGTCAGTGTGCAAGTATTGGGAACTTAACATATTTTTAATTTCATAAGAAAATATTGATGAAAAATAATATATTGAGTAATTATTCAAATTGTGCTTTCTTTTCAAATTTCACATGCAAGTCTGTGTTTATATTATTTCCCACCCTCCCATTAACACTCCAACTCCTCATGTTTCCTCAGCTACTCAAATTAATTACCTCTTCTTCTACAATTATTATTGTTTTATATATATATATATATATATATATATATATATATATATATATGTGTGTGTGTGTGTGTGTGTGTGTGTGTGTATGCAACTACAAATTACAAACAATCATAAATGGTTTCTTGCCTCCAAAGTCTATATTTCTTAAGATGTACAGTAGCTGAAGGACATGAAAATTCTAAGGCATAAGAATATAATGACAAAAGCATATGGAACAGCTTATAGCATCTATTTAAGAAATGAAACAGTGCTATAAATGTTAAAATGTATACACATACAAGATCCAGAAAATTACTTTTCTAGAGTTTATCAGAAAAAAAAAACAATCATTGCAAAGATGACAGCCCTAGATAACTATAGCTTAGAAATTGAAATGTTTAGTATTTGTATAACCCCTCTATTTCTATCTGTGTCTCTCTCTGTCTCTATGTCTCTGTCTCTGTCTCTCTCTCTCTCTCTCTCACACACACACACACACACACACATACACACATACACACACACGAAAACACATGCACACATATTTATCAGGCCATATTTAAAATCCAATGTCAAGCACATCATCAGCCCACAGTTCATCCCTGGAGACTAGCACAAAACATAATGGGTATTGGGTATGATTTTCCAAGAAACTTATTTAGCTTAATTACCTACCCTCTCCTTTGTTGACTTCTAAATGAGAAAAAAATGTCTATAAATCAACATAAAAGGTAGAAACAGATTTGACCATCATTTCTTACAGCAAGAAAAAAAATAACATGAAGTGATTAGCTATCATCCTAGGAAAAAATTCTGAGCAAAAATATTATAAACACAAGACATTTTCAAAATGACACCGAAATTTTTTTTTTTTGATAAAAGAAACTGGTCTAGATATGCTGACTTATCAGAAATTCTCAGAAACTGAGAATAAGGTAATTTCAAAGCCACATTCAGAAACAAGATAGGGACATCCGAATGCAGTGACACAGTGGTCTCATACTTCTGAATTCTAAAGTCTAATTCACTGTATATGTCAGAAGCGACAAAATAAAAGTGGCAATGCTCATGCAATACTAAAAATATAAAATATATAAAGCATGAAATGTAAAAGATTCTTCCCAAAGAGAAACATTTGTAATTTTTCTTCTCCTTCAAGCTTTCCAAGAGCTGGAATAAGTTGACTTATTTTGATTTTCCTATTCCTAGGCATTGTCTGTGGCTTAGTAGACTGTGGGTGTACACCAGAGATGAGAGAGAGAGAGAGAGAGAGAGAGAGAGAGAGAGGAACAGAGGATAAAATAATCGACAGTCCTTCATCACGAGGGCAGAGTTCCAATGCTCCTTCTCTTGTCCAGTGAAGCAACACTTACTGCAGGTAAGTGAAAATTTTAAGGTAAATGAAATACCTTATTGGACTGGAAGTGATATCAGGGTCACGAGCTGTCACTTGGCCAATCACAGAGTTCAAAGCAGCATTTTCATGAACTTCGAGGAGGTAAGTCGGAGAGGAGAAGACCGGAGGTTCATCAGCATCCTCTACAACAATTTTGACTGTCGCTGTATCCTTAAAGGGTCCCCTGCCACTGAAACGTGGGTCAATGTGGATATTGGCTGCCTCCACCTTCAGAGTATAGGATTTTTTTGTCTCAAAGTCCAGAGGCTGTTAAAAAAAATGACAAAGATGAATTCTTCTCACTAAAGCACCGCAGCAAGACCAAATGAGTATAATGTAGATGGATGGAAGTTATTCTCATTTAAGCCAGTTTGTGACTCTTAATGGGCTACATTCCCCCTAGATTCAACCTGTAAAATTTACAGGCATTCACTGATACCTGTTTATTATACAAGCTCAGAAAGTCTAAACTCCTATTGTACTGTTGTGTTTTGCTCATTTCACTCGGAATTCACAAAAATATTTACAGTCATGAATTGTAACATCAAATTTTCACTTCAGAGTCATAATAAAATTTTACAAGCGATGACATGACCAGCACGCTAAACATTTGGTTAACCAAGCTCCTGCTGGTGGCAGATAAGGCAGCACTGAATACAGTCTCTCTCTCTGGGAACAATATTTTATCGTTTCTGCATAGTGTGTGAAATGGAAAGACTAGAAATGATCATTGTTTCACCCAAAGAGACATTACAAAGCATGATTTAGCACTAAACCTAACAAAGAATGTTTTATATAATTTCCCAAACATTTCTACTCTGATTGTGTGACTAAAATGGGGTTTATTTCTTCTTAGAACATTCTTAGGTCTCTGTCAAAAGTGCTGTGCTATGGAGCAGGTAATCAGATAAAGTGATATGCTTGCACATGCAAACCTATTTTTGTTTACATTCGGGAAAAATTGTGAAAGCAAATAAATAGACTTAACTAGGTCTGACTTTGCACAGCAACCACTTAAAAATTGAAATCACACCATTTCTCTGTTCCTGATGTTATTTCTGAGAGAGTCATCATTCATTCCTTAACAGTCCACAAGATTTTTGTCAGTGACTGGTGTAAATTGAGCAAGGTAAGTGGCTATATTCCCCTCACATACATCAGAAAACATCTAGGGAAATTCTTGGCAAGTTATAAGAGTCCAGATTTTAAAAATGTAAGTCTGTCAAGATTCAAATAGATAGTTTATATATGCATCACAATTTCTCAGAAGAAACAGAATTTTAAATCTGCAATGCAGATTTTTAGAAAATGGAAGCTGAAACAAAAGCTAGCACAGGAGCAATTGTGCAAGATTAAATATATATTCTTATTTCAATCTTCAATGTTGGCTTTTATATTTGAATTCAGATATAATGGGAATTAGCTTTTCTCCTCAATATTTTCTGATAAACAGTGCTTATGTACTTCCCTGCTGATTATGAAATAGTAATGTGTATGCATTAAGATTGGAAGAAATAATTTACGATGGGATGAAATTTTACAAATCATCCACACTGTAATAGTTTTGTTATTCTAGGCACTTCACAAAATATATTTAAAATATGTTCTGTGTAATATACTAATATTGTTTTTAATTGACAAATAATAATTTTAATTTGATAGTAATTTAAGAGTATTAGTCGACATATGTATAATTTAAGGTACAATAATAGGCTAGCTAGTATATAAAGAGAGAACTTGATCAACTCAGCTGACATATCCTTTACCTTACTCCCTTATCAGTTTTGGTGGAAATTAAGATTGTACTGACTGGTTTGTGTGTCAACTTGACATAAGCTGGTGTTATCACAGAGAAAGGAGCCTCCCTAGAGGAAATGCCTCCATGAGATCCAGCTGTAAGGCATTTTCTCAATTAATGATTAGGGGTGAGAGGGCCCGTTGTGGGTGGTGCCATTCCTGGGGTGGTAGTCCTGGGTTCTATAAGAAAGCAAACTGAGTAAGCCAGGGGAAGCAAGCCAGTAAGCAGCATCCCCATGACCTCTACATCCAAGCCTCTACTCCTGCCTCCAAGTTGCTGCCTCATGTGATGTGCTCTGAATTCCTTTGACGATGAACAGAAATGTGGAAGTGTAAACAGAATAAACCGTTTCCTCCCCAACTTGCTTCTTCGTCATGATGTTTTGGGCATGAATATAAACACCGACTAAGACAGAGAGTCAATTCTTCATTTTTAATAGCTGTGTAGTATTCCATTGTCTAAGTATACAACAATTTTCTTTATGTTATCTGTGGCAGAAAGACATCTATGTTGTTTCCATATTCTGGCTATTATGAATAAATTTCCTATGAACATAGTTAAGTAAGTCCCCTTATAGGATGGTGGAACATATTTTTGGTTATATGTCCAGGAGTGGTATAGCTGGGTCTTGAGGTAGAGCTAGTCTCAGTTTTCTCACAAAGTGCCAAATTGATTTCCAAGTGGTTATATAAGTTTGCACTCCCACCTTGCTCCATATCCTTACCAGCATATGCTATCACTTGAGATTTTGTTTCAGCCATTCTGATGGGTATAAAATGGAATCTCAAAGCTTATTTGGATTTCCCTGATGTCTAAGTATATTGCATATTTCTTTCAGTGCTTCTCTGCCATTAGAAATTCCTCTGTTATGAGTTCTCTGTTTAGCTTTGTACCACAAAGAAATGCAGACCTAAAGACATGTATGATGTATACTCATTTATAAGTGGATATTAGCTATAAAGTGTAGGATATCCATATTGCAATCAAAAGACCTAGAGCAGTTAAGTAACAAGGAAGGATCAAGGGGGGGGATATTTGAATCTCACTTAGAAAGAGATATAAAATATACCTGAGAAGTGGATGGAGCAGGGAACTGGCTGGGAGAGCAGGTTGAAAGAGGAACAGAGGTAGGAATTAGGTATGCGGAGAACAGGGAAAGAGAGAGCTAGGAGACTGAATAGAGATCAGTGGAGGGGGCATATCTGGAACAAACTGAAAACCTGGAACTGCCATACTCCCGGGAGTCTATGGTAGTGACCGTAGCTGAGACTCCTAACGGCTGGGGATATGAAGCCTACAGTTATCACTTCCTGTAGCCACACGGGACTTGCAGTGGAGGGAGGGGGACACAAACCCAACAACAAAACCTTTAGTTCAAAATGTGTCTCGCCTACAAGTTGTTCAGGGATAAAGATGGAGCAGAGATTGAGGGAATGGTAAATGAATAAATGGCCCAACTTGAGACTCATCCCATGCAAGAAATTCAACCCCTGATACTATTAATGATACTCTGATATGCTTGCAGACATGAGGAGCATAACTGTCTTATGAGAAGCTTCATCTATAGGCCTATTGAAAACATGCAGAAACCCAGAGCCAAACATCAAATGGCGCTCGGAGATACTTGAGGAAGAATGGGGAACAGAACTGAGAAAGTTAAAGCAGTTAAGGACATCACAAGAAGACCTATACAGTCAACTAAGCTGTGTCCATGGGGTTTCAGAGAGTCTGAAGCACCAACCACATGCATCCATGGGCTGGACCTATAGATCCTAAACATATGTAGCAGATGTGCAGCTTGGTCTTCATGTGAGTCCCCTGACCATTGGAGTAAGGCTGTCTCTGACTCTGTTGCCTATAATTGAAACCTTTCTCCTCGCTGAACTGCCTTGTCTGGCCTCAGTGGAAGAGTGTGGGCTTAATCCTGCTGCTAGTTGATGTGCCAGGGCTGTTTAGTACCCTTGGGGGACCTCACCTTGGAGGCAAATGGGAGGGTGATATTGGAAATGGGGTGTAAAGGTGGGACTTGGAGGAAAGTAACAAAAAGGACTTCAATCAAGATATAAAAAAATAAATTAAATAATTAATGAGAAAAAGTCCTCACCTTCAAAATTAAACAAATAAAATTCGATTCTTGTGGAAATGCTCTGGCCATAATGTTGCACGAACTATCACTAAATCTTGTCCAGTTCTGTATTTTGAAGTCATTGATCAATATCTTCTCTTTCCCATCACCTCAGGCTCTTACAAAGCCGAATATCAAAAAAAACCCTCTGTAGGCATTCTCCTCATAGTTTCTAGATTCTTTCATAAAACGATATTGTAGACCACTCTGCCCAAATGGGTAAATAGGTTCTGTTTACCTTACTCCATGTTTTGCTTCAGTTTGAAAAAAAAAGCAGTTCCCCACAGACATTTTTGGTTGTTGTTTGTTTGTTTGTCAGGAATTGTCAGCCAAGCTTAACTATAGTGTGTCCAAATATCCTCTAGTGTCCTTAGGATTTTATCAGTTAATAAACAGTAGCCTAGTGGCCTGTTGAAATGTGATCCCTTAAAGACAGACTCTAAAAACAACTTTTGTGTTTCAAGGCACTAAGTTCATGGCATATGCCTCCAGGTTTATAAATATTAGTGGACAGAATCACAATGAACAACTAATTGTCTCAATTTATAAAACCACCAAATGGGAACAATGGGTATCAGTTAAAGACAATAAACATGTCATTAGAAAATTTTAGGCAAAAAAAATTTGGTTGTGGGTTAGTCAGTAATTGACTTAAACATAATTACATAGCCAATGGTGGTCTTTAAATAATTTTTGACTCTTGGCTAAAAGCTCTGAACTTGGATTCCGGCACCAGAATAATGTTGCTCACTGAAGAATTACAATAAATGCAGCCATTTGTTCCCAACATTGTTTGTAAGAATTTCATTTAAAAATAGCCAGAAAATTCTAGGTTTCCATTGTTAATTCCTCTTCAATATAAAATTTAGAGCAGTACCATTCCACACGTATTATTCAGCGGCCAAAGATAGAATTCCATGGTCTTGCTCATGATTAACAAGCAGATCCCACTGAGCAACATCTCTAGCTGACTTAGATTATCATACAACATGATAGAACAACATTGCAGGTTTAACACTGTGTCAATTTAATGCTAATAAAGACAGCAGCATAAAAATTACTGGTTCCCAATAGAGTGTATTATCACTTATTATTCATCAATCAGAAAATCTATTTAAAATAGCACTTGTATGAAAGATGTGAAGAATAATATTGAACAAAGTATCATGGCATCCACAGTGATGCATCTAGCGTGAGTAAAAGTTTGTATCACTCTTTATGACCTCTTTGCTGCATGCTTTATATGAAGATAGAGATCATGATGAAGAACACAAATTGAAAACCATATAGAGTGATTCACATATATCATCAAAACAATGCAAAAACAACAACAGGAAAAAAGAGACTCAATCTCCAAAATGGGTCAAATCTTCATTTTCCTTAGAAGGTTGTCTTCCTGTCTAAACCTCTTCATGTCTAAACCTCTTCTGTTGGGAGCCAACTCCTAGCCGAAAGTGGCTATCATCTTTGCAGCCATCTCAGGCCATAGACCCTGACAAGAGACTTGTTTTCAACAGCCCGAAACAGCTGAGCACACTCTGATAAACATCTTGTTTTTCTCACATATCTTGTTTTGCTGTTTAGTGCCACCAGCTGCAAGGCGCACGTGACATCCACGCTGCTGAGTGCACGTGGTCTCCTCACTGCTAGCTAGGTGCACGTGATATCCACGCTGCAAGGCACATGACATAGTGCCTTCAGCTGTGCTTGTCCACGAGGGCAAGGCACGTGGTAAAGGGTATAAATACCCAGGATTTCCTTCCAATAAACGAGACTTGATCAGACTCCCTGTCTTGTCTCCATTCTTCGCGTCTCCGTCCCCACTCTCTCTCTTGCTAGGCCCTGACCTGTGGACCGGAGCAGCAGAACGGGCGGTTACACTCTTCAACAAGGACAGCATGAGATTTATTTTCCACAAGGCTTGGACTTTTGACATGTTTAAAGTAATCAGTGGTAGGAGAGTTACTCTCCATATTGAGCTTCACAGCTACATAGGATGCTGGAATCTGAGCATCTTGCTTGTCACTGAGTTTCTATTTAAGCATAATTTTTAAGAAGCCCAGGGAAAATGCCAATGTATTTAGAGGGAAATCTAAAGGAACTAGATCAGAAATATGAGAGTTACACAGAAAATATCAAGAATTTATTGAACTTGTTACTCCTGGGGTTCGATTGACACATGAATTCCACTGAGAATTCATTTAAACTGAAGGTAATTGTACCCTGGAGTAATTTCATGAGTCAGTAGTAACTGTCTATCCATCTTTTCTCTCCATTGGTTGAGAGTTCCCTTCAGGGCAATGACTTCAGTGCCCTATGTAAAGACTGAGTGACCATTTTTGTGTTTGTTTTTTCCCCTAGAGAACAACTCACTGAATCATAAATGTGGAGATAAGTAGTGGGACGCTAGCTACAGAATGGTGGCTGTTTACCGGGGGGACATCTGAAACGTGATGTGGCCCTAAGAGACTGGCAATCCTGAATAGTTCTGTTACATATACATTTCAACCCACTATTCACCTTAAAGCTAAATATCTACCAATTATAGGTTCTATCTGTCTACTCAGCTCTCAGAGATTTCAAAAGTAGTGTTTTTCAAAGATATTTAGAAAATAAGGAAAATACTCCTTAGCTTACCTTTCTTAGTCTTATAACACCATCCTGGGCCTGGGTATCAGAAGTGATTTCAAATAGTGCTGTCCCATCTCCATCAATGATGTCATAGGATGATTGTGCATTTTCACCAATATCCTGATCATTAGCTTTAACCCTTCCTATCGCAGTGCCAAGGACCACATCTTCTGGTACTGAGAAGTGATACAAGCCTTTAAAAAGATGAAGAACACTGAGTATTATAGAAACACTATCCATTCACTAACTAATTTAGCAAGATTAATTGGACATTTTCTATATTCTGAAAGTCTCTAGAGATACTACCAGGGTAATAGTAGAAATGAAAAAAAAAACTCTTCTATAAAATGTATACTGATTTAAACAAATATAAAACAAGCATTTCCCAGAAGTATTGAGTCCTCTTCATCATTCTTCATAGACAGAGAACTTACTTATTTGCTGTATGGTTATTAAGTATTTGTTTGGAGAAACTCTACCAGAATATTAGTGTGTCTATGAGAATTTCCTTTCCTAAATTCTGTAAAATCACATTGCCTGCCTGTGGGAATATTCATTGTTGCCCCACATAAAATATTAAGCTAATTTCAGCATAGAGAGATGCAATGTGTAATGTGTTGAAAGTCACTTTTGAACTTACTTTTATATTTACAAACTTGTAGACCGCTTTTGATAAAATCCAATTACTAAACTTCTGCCATGCCCTGCAGCAAGCTATCCAGATACATGAAATACTCCTCTTGTCACTAAATTCTTCATTGCTCTAAAGACTAGAATCCTACCTTCAAAACTCCCTAGGCAAAATACAATTACAATGTGTTTTCATTCTCCTGTGGGGACAGTAAAGCATGTCTAATCAGTGGCATTTGTCCTATTTTTTATTCCAATGTCTTCATTGTGATGTTGGTTGCAGTTATCTTCATTGGTATAGTGGAGTCGTGTGGTACTGGAACACTCTCCCTGGCCATTAACACATTACTGCTCATCTGCCCTACATCTGTCTAGCTGTTCCTATATTTCTTTGCCTCGGGGTTTTATCTCGCCTTCAGATTCTATTTCATCCATTGCATGTCAGGCTGGAGGAACTGTTCAAGCATTGATTCATGCCATGGAAACAGTCATCAAAGACTCACAGGAGTTAGTTTATGAAATAGTAGTAGACTTTTCCCCCTCTCTGGTAGGATAACTTTGAGTTGTTACTATTTTTTTTATATTTCCAACAGATCAGACATTTCTCAGTAGGCTAAAGATACACTCAGCCATGGTATTAAGTGTTTATATCCTGCACACCTCTGGATTTCTAGCCTGCCTTTTTTACTTCCCTGCTTGTGCTCCTTGTGGGAGTTAAATTACATATAATAAGATTCTTGTCTCAGAGCCTGCTTCACGCAAACCCAAAGTCAGATAACCAGGAAGACCGAGTCTACAGCAATCACAACAAAATGGAAAAAAAAAAAAGAAATCTACAGAACACTACCTAATGTTAGTTTAAGACCAAACACTGAATCCCTGGATAAGCATGATATGCTTATCCAATTGAATTTGATTGGTTTATTTGATGAGCAGACTTCCTTAAGTTCTCATTGTTAAAAACAAAGCAAAATTATTTCTTGAGATTGGAATTCCAAGAAAATTGTGTATTAGCACAAATGTAATAAAGTAGGCAAAGACAATCTTCCTGCTCAACACAAGCCTCCCAGTAATCACAAAATTTATATTCCAGGTAAAATTGGAGGATATTCTCTTGGTGTGCTTACAAAATAAATAATCAGTCATTGGACCTCATCTTCCTGTCAATCCTACATCATGGTGCCTTGAAAAGCTAAGTAAATGCAACATTCCTTTATCCACTGCCATTTTGAGTTTTCTTGTCTACTCTATATGGGAAAGCACAGTTAACAATTATTACTTTTGCAAAGGGAAATTGCTTTAGAAGCCCACCTACAACTGTTGAATTGAAATAATCCCCTTTCAGTAAAAGATAAGTTGCATATTAATGAGTGAGAGTAGCAGGAAGCCAAGTAAAAAAAGATAGAATAGATAGAAAAGATAGAATAGATTATTTCAATATAAATCCTTAAAAGCTTCATAATTCAAAGAAGGGTAGATATAAAAGTGTACATCTCTAGGTAAAGATATATTTCTATACTTTCTGCCTTGGAATTTTTATGAATGAATTCTCAATTGCTTATCAAATGTGTCATTTCAGACCTCCACCCTGCCCCACCTCTCTCTCCTTGCCTTTTCTAGTTCCTCTCAATCTTTTCAAGAAATAGTTTTCATGTGGTGTTTTCTAAGCTAGGAGGAAGCTCCAGCAGGTGGTTAGCTGCTGATATCAGAAATATGATAATCTATCTCCTTAAATTCGTAAAACAGCACCTTCTTAGGCTTCCATAATTCCAACACCTAAGTATTTAGAGGCTATCTATGTACTTTACTCTGCTTATGCCTGTACCAACTTTATATCCCAGTACTTCTAACATCTTTGAAAATAATGTTTGCAAACTTATTGTTGTTGAGCTGTAATATGGTGAAGAAATCAGAAATCTTTAAATACTTATTTATCTGTTTATTTATTATTTCTCCTGAGAAAATCAGTGAATTCACCTATAAGTAAAGACATTTTAATAACTTCTTAATGATTTTAGACTAAACATCATGGTATGTAACATGGTAGACTAACTCAGTAGCTGCTTATTTGTCTGTAGCCTCATTTTCCAGGGCCTTCCAGTAAATCTAAGTCACTGGTTTTCTGAGTTTCAATGGCAGCAAAAGCTTTATCATTTTTGTATTGTATGTATTTAACAATACAAAAAATGTTATATACATGCATGTGTATGTGTATACACGCATACAATTTCCTAATTAGTGAATATATATATATATATATATATATTACATACATAAATATATATTGTACGTGCATGTACAAATTTAGGGCAATGCTCATAATACAAGCATGTACGCATATAAGGCCATATTAGTTACAATATCTATAACATGGAAATAATTTTGTACCTATCAATGAAATATTAAACAAATAAATAATGGTGCATATGACTACAGCATCTGTGTATTTTTTCTAACATAAATGAATGTCTTTTCATTGATAACACGGTTGAACATAGAGGAAATTACATTAAATCAAAAAAGCTAGACAGAAAAACAGTATCATCTAACTTACTCCTGTTCAGAATCTTTAAACGTGGATATGTGTAGGTAATATGCAAACATAGTATTATGGATATATGTCTTTGGCTACAGATTTTAGCCTCAGTGTCTATAATCCCTCTGTTGACTTATTCATTACATCCTGTTCCATGTATTTCCATGCATCCTTCATTTCTCAATTCAAGAATCATTCTGCTATATCTGAAAAACTTTAATGAATTACTCCCCCACATAATATTACTTGGTAAATGCTCTTAAGATGTGTGTCCTGCGAGGATGAAGATGTAAGGAAATAGTGATCATCTCCAAGGACCACTAATTGTGGTTACCTGAATTCTGTCGAGATTGCTGAAGCTGAACCTACCCTTAGTAGGGAATCAATGATTATTGCTCTCTCTCCCACCATCAAGAAGGAGAGTGTCTGTACGGAAATACCTTTAATGTATAGTTTCCTTTCCTACTTGAGACTTAGTTTATTTTCGACAACAATGAGATTACTAATGGATCAATATCTGAGCTGAATTTTCATCACACAAGTTATTTCTTATTCTATTACCTATTACCATTGATATTTGGGGTTTTCTACTTGTCATTAAAGTTATGAAAATGGATAGAAATTACTGTTAGGTAAAACTTGGAAGTAAGCAATCTCTGACTGTTATCAGGTTCTGCAAAGCTAAGGAAAATTATAGTTAAAATGGACATGATTCTTGGCTAGTGCAGGAAATCACTTACTCTGAGCAAATTTTGGAGGATTGTCATTAACATCAGTAAGGGTCACTGTGAGTGTTGTGGTTCCAGACAGACCACCAGAGTGTCCACCCATATCTTTGGCTTGAATTACGACCAAGTATTCCTCCTTGGCTTCTCTGTCCATGTTAGGAAGGGCAGTTTTTATAATAGCTGAAAGAAACAAAATAGAAGAATGAACATTAGTAGAACATTCATTAGGAAATGAACATGTCACACACAAACACATAGATCCACAGGCACACATATGCATATAGCAAGTGCTACTAGGAGAAGACTTTTGATTCTGTTGATATTTATTCTGTTGATTTGTCTGCAAAACTAATGTTGAGTCTGAATGTAGACTTAAGCATTCATAGATAATCTTCAGAAACACCTTTTGTAAGGTAGAGGAAAACTTGTAAAACTATACTTTGGAAAAGGAACTGCCTGCCCACACTAAAGTATAAATCACAACATAGCCTCATCTACCCAGGAAAAGCCTGGAAGTGAAAGAATCCTGCCATTTATCATACACACCAATTCCCCTAGAAGACGAGTAGATCAACAAAGAGCTCGGAGGCTCTAAGATCAAAGATGAATTATTCTTTGGCTGACAAATTCATTAATAAAGTGAACAAAATGAATGAATTATTAGAATCAACTTCACAGGAGTAAAACACCAAAGAGAAGTAAAGCCGACAAGTATTTAAATCCGAAGGTAATGTTATTCATTTATATTTTGTTTTAACAGTTCACTTGTATAATCTTTTCTACTATAAAAGTAACAATTGAATTAGAAAGCTGAGAAGATAAAGAAAGGAAGATAAAAGAAAAAAGGAGGCGAAAACACATTAGTACTATGTGGGGCAAGTAGAACCCTGTCACCAGCAAAAACTGAGAAGGTTCAGGAGATTCAGAAACCCTAGCAAATTCTCATATCTGAGAGTGGTAGGTGTTTCATCTACTCCTCAACTGGTTCCTGTCCTGGAACACATGACAAAGATACACCATGGAGAGGACTGTGACAGTCAGTCATGTAGGACAAACTCTGAAGCTCATCTACATGCAAATGAGACATCCCTCATATTTCATACCAAGCCAATAGAAAGCATCTGCTTTTAGATCCAACCCACCCCAAAATGTATATAAGACCCTATACACCAGGAATAAAACACAGGAGTTATTTCCTCAAGGACCATATGAGAGTGTCTGTCTTATAGGGCTGTAACACTATGGGGAAAAGAATTCTTTCTGGAAGCTTTTGTCTCTGCTTGAGCCTACCACAGTCACTTCCAGCTCAGTGGCACCAACCTTGACTCCTACCCTGCATGGACTCCAGAGCAGCAGAGGCCTTGGAAGAGACAGGGCAGCTTGCTTTGATCTGACTTCCCTTCTTCAGAGAGCCCAACTCTTTCGCCACTTCATGTGGATCTCCACAGATAGTGTCTGACACACAGATGGGCACGGCTAAGTTCTTTGTGGAGATCTTAAAGGTTATTGAAGGTATGTCTATTTACTAGTAACTTTTCTATTCTCTTAAATATTCACAACCTGCTTGTATTCCCCTGAGTTTGATTTAAAAAATCTTTACATAGCCCTCTGTCCATTCATATGCATTTGGTCATTGACAAGTATTGTACATGTTCTATACAAATTGAAGTTTATCATGCATTTAGTATTTACCTGTATCTATGCTTATAAACATGCAATCACAATTGTACATGGAATACTAGCATTTTATCACATTTCATCGTTTTCACACAGTGAATGTAATTTACAGGTACACAGATGTTCATATGAATGTACCATGTTAGTTCACAGTCTGACAGTAACACATATCCAGACTATCAAGTTCTCTCACCTTTCCAGAACCTAATAGTCTTGACATCATGGTCATGTTGATAACCATAATACATCTTTTGCTCTTTTCCCTTTCATAACCTTTTCCTCTTCCTCCTCCTCCTCATCTTTCTGCAGCTGTTATTTTGTGTTTTTCCCCTGATAGGAACACCCAAGATCTCTATCCTTCTAGGCAAGTACTAATACAGTACCCAATACTCAGCTTGGTACTACGCTTTTCTGTTGCCTGTACATTTGTGTCAAAGAAATGTTAAGTTCCACAAACAAAATAGTAATGACATGGGTTTCATTTCTTTTCCCTACTTTACAAATATTGCTATAGAAAAATCTCTGTCTGATATCTCATTGTCTTTTTTACTCGCTCAAGGATAAGTTTGTTGATGGTACTTGCTTTGAAGACCAGTGTTCTCCAGGAACCAAGTTACCTTTTGTCATCAAATATAGTGAATATATTGTCACTTTCTAATCCAATGGCAAAAGACATTGCCAAAATGCCATTGTTTTCCAGAGAGAAAGTTCAGAAGTACTTGCTTTGTAGTTATGAGGCTGGGTCACTGAGAACCAGAGCATGTATGTACATACCAATACAGTGAAAATACTGCCTTATGTGAATAGATGAATAATATCAAACTGGAAAGTTTTATGTCTAGCAGCTTTGCTCTTTATCTTCTTTTTAAAGATGTTGGGAGTAACATTCCAGATTGCTAAAGCAAGTGGGAATTCCCTGTAAGGTTACTTCAGGACACACAATACAAATAATTGGCTTTGGTTCAGATTGCTGAAGCCCACTGCCTCCAATCTTAACCCCAGTACTAGTAGTAATTCATTACAAGATCCAAGATAGAATTTCTAGAACTTTCTTTTTAGCTACCCTGTGGCTATAAAGGCAGTGTAGTAGAAACTGCTAGTGCCTTTTATCTACCAAGTTTTTCTCTTTGTGTTGGGACCTAGCTATAAATGTTACTTGAGATTTTTATTCCTACTCAAAGGACAGGGCATTTCACTTCCACAGCGTTGTGAGACATTGATAAACTCCTAAAATAGAAGACTGAAATTGCATTAACAGTCTCTGCTTTTTTGGCCCACATTTTCATCACAAAATCAGCAGCTTTGGGAGGATTAAAGACAAAGAATCTTTCTTAGGAAAAAAGAAAATATTGTGCTATCGTTTAATATATCATTTAACATAAAGTAGAAAAATGAGTAATTAGAACAGGCTGTATTTCTTTACATATTTGTAGCTCAACGTGTTGGACATGTGAACACTAAAAAAGACTTAAATCATCATTTCACTGGCAATTCTTGTCAGGTTCCAGCATTGATTATAATAAGGGAAATAAGAGCTTCCTACCACCATTGTTAGACAAAGTAATATAAAAATGCTTCTGTGTAGCCAAAACGCAAAGTACATACCCCTTTTTATCATATTGACCAAAGAACGTTAGTGCTTTTGCATTCACTTATGTGCTAATAGTCAAACATTTGCTGTGCTCAGTTGCATATTCAAGAGGTCATATATATTTAAGATTATATTGCAACTTGGAAACAAATTATAAAGTTATAATTTTTTCAAAATGATGTTTGACAATTTTTTTTTAATTTTTTTATTTCCGGGCCAGCTAGTTACGCTCTTTGATGTGATTTTTTTTCCCTTGAATATTTCTTCTAGTTGGCATGCGAGGTAGTGGGTTCAGTTATGATGTTTTCATATATGTCTACTACTTTATTTTGCACTTACAATTTCCTTTGTTCCTTGCCCTACCCTACAGCTGTTATACTTCTTACTGTCCCCTACTTCTCACAGATGGTTCATCCTTTGCTTACTTGTCATGATGTATTTAAGAAATAGTTTCATAATAAATAAAAGATAATTTTTTCTCACTCTAAACATTCTAGGACCTCTGTGAATTAATATAATAATTTTATTGAACTTTGCTCCTAATTTTTATAAATTTTAGATAAGTATCATTTCTTACAATTTAGTTTTAGACTCTTCTGCAGTTTTCTAACCTTGTTTAAATCGCAAGACATCCCCAGGGTAAACTCTTCTCCTTGAAAAAATGAAGAACCCTAACATCTCAAACGTTTGAGAAAGGTCAAGAATAATTGGGTTTTTAATTGAAGAAAACAAGTCGGTAGTTAAAGCTAGGATATAAAATACCCCCTGTATATTCATGTGTTATGTTCCTGGTTCCAGATGGTTTTACTCTTTTGAGAAGTGGTAAAAACTATAGCAGTTGGGAAGTAGTAGGGCACTACGCTTTCCACTGAAGCTTATATATGGGCTAAACGTCCTTCCTCTTTCTATACTCTCAGTTCTCATTGAGAACAGTCTCCTTCTATCCATGCTTCTGGCCTGAAACCATTCATATATTTGGCCAAGTAATCATTTAATGAACCTTCTGAAACATGTACCAAAGTTAGTGATTCTCCCTTTTGAGTTGTTTCTGTCATGTATCTGATCAACAGAATAGAAATTTAAGTAATACATGGGTCCTGAGCCAATCTGTAACATCACGTTTAAAGTTCACAGTCGAGGCTGAAACTAGTATCTTTTAAAAGAAATTCCCAAGAACTCAATTTAAGAAATCTAATCTAATCAGAAAATGAATGAGAACATTTGTTCTTCATGAATTAATTCAATGCATACTTGGAACTGACACTGGGGAGTATAGGTAGGGAAGGTAAGGGATTTGACGGAACCCTGGCAAAGGGAAAAAAGTGAAAAGGGGATCCTCTCCCTTTTCAGTCTGCACTGATCACCTTCCTATGAATAGACCCATGTGCCTCTTTCTCTGGTATTTAAAAGACGTAGTTTTACCTTTGCTTTATTCAATCAAATAGAGATTTCCCTAGTGTAAAATTTCAGAGTAAAGAATCTCAGACTGGCCTAAGTTCCTCCCAATGTTAAACAGCTGGGTTTTATGGCTAAGCACTGAGGGAGTGCTTCTGATTAGAATCCTGTCTCAGACATCTCAGAAATAAAAACTTATATGCGCTTCCCCCCTTCCATTGTCTTTAACATTATCATTGGAGAAGCATTTTGTATCCATCTCGACAACATCTTTTTATAATTTCTGTGATCTCACCAGATTGAGAGGCTTCATGAGAAAGGCAAGGAGATGCTGATTAAGTCTTTTGTCATATTGAAGGCTGATTACTGTAATTCACTCGTCGCGGGTCTCCCAGATTGTGCCGCACAGAGATTGCAGTGGATAGAAAACGCTGCGCTAGACTCCTCTTCTGAATGTGTCTTGTTGAACACATTATCTCAGTTATGAAACCCCTACCTTTGTTATCCCCAGAAGCCC